TTTTTTTTCGAAGGAGTACATTACTTTGGTGAATTTTTCGATCGTTGAACAACTCAAAAAATGAAATATTTCGAGAAGACGGTCGTCACTAGCATTTCCAAATGCAAAGCTCGTAGAAATTCCCCGAAACGATTTCTAGTAATGATTAACCCACTGCCGAATGCGCCTTTTACACTGTCCTTACATTAACTTTCAATTTCTCTTATAACTCTGGTTGGAAGTGAATGATTTTTGTACCACGATGCCTCAAGGTTCTCTAGAATGTTGTGAGCTCAGAAGTTACTTGAAAACATGAAAAAATTAGAAGAACGCTTGACAAATAACATAAATCCTACAAGAGCACGATATGGTGCGGCTCGCCGGCGCGCCACGCGGTCGTCAACGTTAATTAATGAAAGAACAGATCACGATAATTCTGTGGTATCCTTCCAAGGTCGAAATGTGGTAGTGTTAGTCAAGAACAGTGTAACGGTGGCGATAAAGGCGAAAAAATTCGCCGACTTCGCTAAAAAAGGTTTTGAAAGTGGTGTAGGTAGAGTTTGTACGAGATTACCATGACGGAAGTGGTAGAGAAGGGGTACTCGGACGATCTCAGCTGTTGCGATTGTGTGAAGAGCTGACTAAATCAAACCAAAATTGTCCAAAACTGCCTTTTGTTGTTCTTATTGTCAAGTTGTTCAAACTTCCTACATGTGTGACCCTTATAAATGGTGCAGCCTCTAGAATGCCCTTGAAACTCGTCCGCTTTTGATTGGCATACAGCCGATGGAGACTTTGTGTCTTATACCGCTCTTCCTATACCGTTTCCGACGTGACAATGCCACATTACTGACTGACTCATTTCTGTCATGAACTGTGCCTTCACAATACAGTAGGCAGTAGGTCTCCCAAGTTTCGCAGTTAAAAAGATAACTTACATGATTTTGTAAGATTTAAGCCGATGGCCTCAGTGCAACCCACTTTCACCGCTTCTCATTTTTCCGTGGACTACACTTTTTCGGAGAAGAAGGCGTCTGGTCGACTCAGCTGCTCCCTGTCTTTCCTACTCTCCCTCTACCAAATCGACACACGCTACTCACAGGTATTCCTTGTGCCATTATGAGGAGAAAGTTGGGAATTCTTGGAGAGGGTCAATCAACACGTTCAAGGTGTGCTGCCGCGTAGACACGGTATAGTCGGTGAGTACATGCTGAATTGGAGATCGAAGCAGAAGTTTCTGAATTTCACCGCTGAGTCCGATTTTCAGCAAAGGTACGTGGTCTAGAGGAACGTTTTTTATTGACCGAAGATGGATTTCTTCCATTGCAGCGAGTGGTGGACCATTGATCCGGTATATGTCACTGCAACTAAAGCCAAAGCGTCAGTTGCAATGTTTTTCTTCCCTGAGTGCAAGGTACGCTTGCATAACTCCCGTATTTTCTGCATGCTTTTCTATATTAAATAGAAAACGAAAAGGCTGTTCGTGAATGTGTACGTGTGGAGCATGAGATACGGCATCATATGGGGAGCTATCTAAGTGGTTCAGGACCAGTTTAGGTCAAAGCGGGGTGGTGAGACAACCTATTTCCGCCACGATCTCCCGGAATTCCGATTACCGTTGAAAAGACCTTCATCGAGCGCTTCCAAGCTATAGAGCCTATATTTTGCCACCGTCAGAGAGAGGCTTGGTAAAAGGGTTGACGGATGAGGAGAGCGTCCTCTAAAAATTTATTTCATTTAAAATGTTAATTATAACAGTAGGAAGGGTTTATGAGGAACCAGCCCAGTTAAATAGAACCCAAATGAAGTACGAAGAAAGTCTACTCCGGAGGAAAGGATATTAGGTTGCATTTCGAAAGCTGATCTCAAATCTGCATTCCAAACCTATGAAAAGGTATTTTCGGAGGAAAGTTACGGAACAGTTTTCCTCTTCTGTTATACTCTGGGTCGTTAGAGAAACGAACCAAGCAGATTCCATGTCTACCTCTGACCCTTACACACCCTTTATAGATGTGCCACGTTTCTTCGAGAGCTATGATGTGATGAGCGTTCTCCCTCTACTGTTATAACAACCAAAAACGCGTTTTCTTTTTGCTGTTCATATAACCAAAAATGATCATCTGATAAACAGAATACACTTTATAATACACCAGTCACGTTACCCGGCTAACGCCGGGCTTCCCTCCTTCTTACGAAAGAGTTGCGATAATCGGAAAACAGCACGCTCCTTCTTTGAAACAAATGATACTTTTCGGAACACGAAATTCGACAGAGGAGCAAAAGGGTGTGCAAACGATATTCAAAATGTGCCGGTGCCTATGCTATGCCTTTGATTGGAAGTCTCGGTCTGTCGCTGTTCGTCTTAAAAATAATGACCCGTTGAATGTTTAAATGGTAGGCATCCAAAGCCTTGAATGGTACTCACAAATGTTGTCCAGCTACAATAAATGTCAAATGTCTTTATGAACGTAGCTCATTTTCTTTGCTGCTATTACATCATTAAATGAGAATCCAAGATTATTAGCGGTCGGATATCTCCTGCCATGAATGATATCAAAGCAAAGTAAAACCGTTATCCTTCATTGAATCGCAAACTTCGCTGGGTAGAGGTAGTAAGCAAGAAGTGGGCCACATTTCATAATCGGACCCTAATCAATGCAATTGCCCTTCCTGTCGAATGAAACAAATGAAACATATAAAAAAAAAACAAAGCTAGATCGCAAATAACAAAGGCACTAGGATTTAATTGGTGATTGGATCTTGTTCTCTTAAGCCTCTTTCATCGTCAGCGTTCCCATCCTGCCCTTTTTACTCCTATTGATTCTGCTCTCCAAGTCCAAGTTCAGGAGTTATGAATTTTCGCTCAGACATTTATTTCGCGGAAACCCTGCCCCCTGTGGGCGGAGTCCGGCTTTACTACACACCAGTGTTCTCATACCTATCAAAATTGAACCCCCCAGCGCCGAATTGAGAATTCTGGGGTAAGCTCCACCCTTGTGGATGCGGTGCGGTCCTGCCACCCACCATGTGTGTTCCATCCTGCCGCGTGTGCTCCTACGTACAAATTTAAACGTTCTAATTCCAAGGGGAGAGGTATTATGAAATTCCGTGCAAACAGACATACAAACAGACCGACGCGAACGCTTTATATAAAGTAAGAATATTTTCTTACTCCGTCCAGCAATATTGTCTTTTTTGTACAGCTAGAACGCTCGAAATAGTAACTAATGGGTGCATATACTTCACCAGTTGGGCCGCCCAGCTAACGCCGGGCTTCCCTCTTTCTTGTGGTGTCGCCCGGCTTCGCCGGGCGGTCCTCCTCCTTCCTGTAAGAAATCTGCTGTGCGTGAATAACTCTTCGATTCTCCTTTTTCCTTGAAAGCTCTACACCGAGTGTGGTGCGATTCACGTGTCAATATAATGAGGACAGCGGACGAAACGCGCTATAACATCATGTCTACTTTCTAGGAGAAATAAGAACTTATAAGTAACATAAGTAAAAAAATGACCATCTATGCATGTTTACAGAGGGATTGCGTTTTCTAGTATCAAGAAATTAAAGTTATTCTTATTTTGAACGTTTGACAAGTAAATTGTTGGCCTGTGCAGTGAATTCTTATTCTCGGAGGGGCTTCATTGCCATCTCGAAAAGATTTGCTCTAATTCATGGTGAAGCCGTGGACTCTTATCTCTTATTTGGTTCACTTCAACAGAGAGGTGTTGAAGCGATGCTGCGTGCGCAAAGAACTTAACCCATTGACGACCATGCAGTCCACATGTGGACTGCACGTTTTCGGCCACGTGGGACCGCGCAGTCCACATGTGGACTGCAGTTGTATTTTTTTNTTTTTTTGTTTTATTCATCTACCAGTGAGGTTATGATCAGAACGGAGGCCCAAGATAGGTATGTTTCCTAAGCCGACTTTCTGTATCATCCCCTGACCAAGCACTATCCGAGGAAGTCATTATTAGAATGACAATGATTAGTTTCATTTTACATTCATCGAAAAGAAATTCCAGATTGTTTGTACCAATCTTTGTCCCTATTACATAATAAGGAGGATGCCCGGCGTGGCCGGGCATTACATAAGAAGGAGGAGAGCCCGGCGTTAGCTGGGCGATCCGACTGTTTAGGTGATATTCCCCAATTTGAACCGCTTTGTGGGTATTGATCTCTTGACATTAATAGGTAATCGTGAAATTGTTTCCATTCTGAGCTTCTCTAGATCCTAGGGGTTTGATTGTCTTGCGTAGTGGGAGGCGAGTTCTGATTATTAGTCTGTGACGTATGAAAAGCATCGGTTAAGTTCCCATTTCATAGCTGTTTTCTCACTGCGCTCATTTGATCTCCACGCTCTTGATCGTGCCTACGTGACTTTTGCGAGGACACACAAACGGACATACAAACGGACACACAAAGTTAGCGGTTTATATATATGGAGGATATTTCCATTTTTTTGCAATTTTTCTTCTCAAAACATTACATTAAATGAGACTACATACAGCGTGGTCCTAGAAAATCTTCTAATTTTACAGTTGTAAAAATGTTTTTCCGAAGGAGTACATTACCTTGGTGAGTTCTTCGTTCGTTGAAAAACTTCAAAAAATGAGATATTTCTAAAAAACGGTCGTCATTAGCATTTTCGTTGTTATCGACCAAACGCAAAGCTCCCAACGCAATCAAATAAAAGTTCCTCGCAACGATTTCTTTCAATGATTGCACTTATAATTGAATGACCACTAGAATTAGCGCCGATTCCATAATAAAGATCAGTAAACACTCAATGTGGGCATTCTTACCAAACCCATTTGATGGAACATTCCTAAAAACTTATAATTTTCTCTTATAAACATCAAAAAATGGTCATGCTGGACCATGAAATCCAGATGAGGGCTGCAGTCGCGGGTGGACGAAAAGCGCGCTGGTCCCTCGCGGCGTCTTGCCGCAAAACGTCGTGGTCGTCAATGGGTTAATGGGGTCACGCGTGAATCGCGCGCCCTCCCTCTACACCCTCAGTATTAGCTCCAAATTCTTAGCAATCTTTTCTGTAGGCCATCTTCGCTGTGTCCGGTAAGAACATCGTATAATATCACAAAGGCGATTATTCACAGAAAAAAGGACAGATGGGCTGGGGAAGCGTGCCTACGGAATTTTCGTGCAATTGGAATACTTTGAAGGCTTTATGGCCGAATTGTTAATTTTTGCGCGAATTTGGCCTCTGTGGGCGAGGTCCTTCCCTGCCACCTATAATAAGTGTTCTCATCCTGTCGCCTGTACTCCTACCACGTTTGAACGGGGGCCAAACTGACAATTTTCGCGCAATCCCCAACCCCTATAGGCGGGGTCTGGTCCTGCCACCTACAGTGAGTGTTCCCATCTTGGTCCCATAACTCCTACCAAATTTGAACATTCTAGGTCCACGGAGGCAGAAGTTAATGAATTTGCGCTCAAACTCGGCTCATTGTGGGAGAAGTCTGGTCTTGCTGCTGACCATAAGTGTTTCCATCCTGCCGCCTGAACTCCTACTGAATCTCAACGCTCTATGTGCACGGGAACAGAGGTTATGCATTTTTTGCTCAAACACCGCCCATTAAGGGCGGAATCTGGTCCTGTCACACTCCGTTAGTGTTCCCATCCTGTTCCCATAACTCCTACCAAATTTGAACAATCTAGGTACACGGGGACAGAAGTTATGAATTTCCGGTCAGACACACACCATGCACACACAAACACACCAACAGACCCAATTAGCCGATTATACAAGTAGGATAATGTATATTTATTGGATAGCATTTATAGACCCACTGTACGTTAATACTGTTTTCACCTCTAATCTTTGGAGAACGCATAAAATTTCCTTTTCTAGGTTTGCCGTATTGTGCTCTGATTAGATTAACTGAATAGATGTCGTTTTTAGGATCTCAGTTCGTACCTACGTGCATACCTCATTCGTCTCTAGTTGAAAACAGTACATATGTAGACCGCTTATGCCAAAGGTGTCCTACATGAGCTTTCACATCATCCCCTACTCAATAAGTATATTATACAGGTTTTTTATATTACTCACCAGATTACCACCTTATACAGTTCCTCATTTCGTTCTTGCAACGTTCTTTGCTAAGATTTCGTTGTTTTTCTTGGTTAAGTGAACTGCACTCACTGAATTCATATTCTGACGTTATTCGTTGAACACCATGTATCGATAGATAAATGAATGACGGTATGTGGACCAATGTCGACCTTGTTCTCCTTCTTTCATCAAATTTGCCCGCTCCGTCCCTACCGTTTTCCCATCGAATAAAGCTCATTCCTTGTAACTCATTGGGATGACATATAGATCCTCATTTCATCCATACTCTCCTCTACTTCCTTAAACACCGTATATGAGCTCTTTCCTTGCCCTTGCTGTACTTTCTTTTGATTCAGTTGTTTCGTCTTTACTGAATCTCTTTTATAATATCGCTCCATAGTATCTTTAGGGTAAGAAAACTATTTATAAAATTTTCTATTTCTTCTCACCACATACTCCCCTGCTGTCATTCACATTGCTTTCCACACAGGCCTGTTGAGATAGAACCGCTTCCTCTAGCGTATCGAACCTGTACGGCATATATACAGGGTGCGCCATAAATACGGTAACAACTTTAGGGATTTCCGTAATTTCTTTGTTCAGAGGAGTTTTCCAAATCTGTGCCTTCCCTTATGTTTGTGATATACAATACATTTAAAAAGAAATCACCTTGAATGTTTTCTGCCATAATTTATCTCAAACTCATCGTTTTTGACTGATTTTTTGATAGCACACTTTACAAACATTATCGACTTTTTTGCGAAATTGACGGTAGCTCACTTCTTGCCGAGTGGGTGAACTTTTTTCCAAAAAACTTGCGAAAGGGGTATGTTCTTTAGGTAGGTTTCGCTGTGTTTTTTGAGTATAAAAATGTCGATGATCCTTTCGTTCTGTAAGTTGATGCTCTCAGTGAGAAGACGAAACTCTGGCTCTCACTATCTGACCGTAAAGCAGCTCTCGCCACTGCCACGGGCTGCAAGCAGGAATTGACCCATGCTCAACATCCGTGAGTGTCTCACACGGCCAATCAACAAGCTCGGAAAGGCCGCTTGTTGCCGCTTCTGAGAGCGATAGGAAGATCATTTGTGCGTCGACCTAAGATTCCAGACGAGCATCTTCCGATATAATAGCTGAAATATCGGCGACGGCGACGTCGCTACCATCAGGAGGTATCTTCAACAGACGCATGTGGGATGCTGGATTAAATGGAAGAAGAAATTTAATAAAGTATCTTGATCTCTGAAAAAGAGACAAAGTCGACTTTAATGATCGTGTAAGCACCTGCACTGGACCTTTGACCAATGACGCGAATTCATCTAGAGCGACTAGATTGTTTTGCTTGGTACACTTGGGTTTCAGTCGTAGATTAGTAGTTAATTCGGGATTAATCGCATGATAATAGTGTTCAAGTCAAGTGGTTTATTTCAAATTATTGAAACTGCTGTTATTTTGTCCTACTCAGAAAAAATGTGAAAAGTGACCTTTCAAGCGAAATAAAAAGGAGTTTCGTGAGTTTTGTGATGGGGACATTAAAAGTCATTACTGTTGACAGCATATAAAAAATCGGTCAAAAACATCGAGTTCGAGACGAGTTATGGCAAAAAAGGTTCAAGGTGATTTCTTCTTGAACGGTACTGTACCTTACCTCACACATCTACTTTGGTACTCTCAATTCGTCGGATTTAGGAAAACGGTGTAGCCCTGCAGGCATCCACCTACCGTTCCGTTTGCGGGCGCATTTGGTGAGTTCTTTTCCGGGATCGCTCCTCGTCTCAACATTTCCCACATGACAGTCTTTTGAAACGCGATGACAGAACAACGACAAACTTTGAAACGGTCGTCTTGTCTCACATACGATCTCTTTTCCGAATAGAATTGCTTTGGGAGCGGAGGTGGTGTAGTGGCAAGTAGCGCACTATATCACACGTACGGTCAGGGGGTCGAATCCCGTATCGGTAACCGCCTAGGCCAACCAAGCCTTCCATCCCTCCAGAGTCGACTAATTGGTACCAGACTCGTCTGGGAGGATAAAAGCACTGACTTGTACATCGGCTGGCCACCGCAAGTCATTGTAAAGGCCACTTACGCACTCATTACGCTACTACGATTCTGAATGGAATGGAGTCTACCTCGAGCAAATACGGTTGTATACAGATAGAATTCGGACGCCTTATAAGCTTCTTGACGAGAAGAAGTTGGAGAAAAAACAAATGCCGTGTGCCACTCGCGCGCGACACGCGCTTCAACAGACTTTTCTGACTAAAGGGTGTCCAACGTTGAAGAAATGTTGAGATCTCAGAGTATACGTATATTCCACACTACGAGTGCTGGAGTCGCATAGAATAGCCAGATCGCCTCTAATAGCCATTTTCCCTCTTTAATGATAGTTTGGTCTAGAATCTCTACCATTACAGCGATATCGCAAATTTTGGTCGAGAAAAGAACAAAACTTTATCCGAACCATATTAAGAAGGGTTTTACTGAAAGAATGCAGCTAAGGGTTCAAGATGCACGCTACGATATCAAGGCTACGATTTGAAAACTGTGACGCGCTTGCTCACAGATGAGAATAGATTAAGACTGGTGCTGAGGTAATGTCCGCGACTTTATCCTAGCTTGCAATCCTGCTACGAATTTTTGGACCCCAGTGTGATAGATCGCTGGGTATGGTCCACAGGGGAGAGGAAAGCCTGCGCTTTATAACGCACCGCTGCTGCTGCTTCTAAGAAATAATAGGAAAAGGTCCGCACTGGAGTCTCTTAAGAAATTCTGTGTGCCACCTTCGATGAGGAGCATCTTCGAGCTTTAATCATTATAGGAGACGGTTATATAAGATGACCGCGTTTTTGTTTTGTAGATGCGATGCATAGTAAACAACTCACAAAAATTGACCTCGTATCATTATGAATTGCTGTTTCTAGGGACTATTTTTTTTGTTAGCATATTATTATATTTATATCGTAACCTGTATTCTTTTATCGAAGTGGACGATTTGCTCGGAACGTCGCCGAATAAAGCGGTTCTATCGTAACGAAACAATACGGCAAAACAGTGTAAAGCACTGTTCAAACGCACAGCTCACGTTAGAGTTGGTTTCTGAGATTCCTCCCTTGATGATTTCGTGACCCTTAAAGGTATCCTGAAGGACGCTGTTGGGTCGATAACAGTCAAGATAGAGCGTAATAAGTCTTTTTTTCCGCGCTTCCTTCGCCTTCTTTACACTATTCTGGATTATCACTTCAACTATTATTTCTTCAGAACTAGATTCCCCAAACTAATGTGAAGTGTGCGTTTAATGTGCACAGGTTCCAAGAATACCGAAAGTAGAAGTCACTCCTTTAATTCCGCTTATAATGGTTAGGATACTCTGCAATAGCCTCTCAATACATGATCCGGTTCTACTACTTTTTGAACGATATGAGGCGTAACTATTTGCGTGAGCCCTTTTCCTTAGTTTTTGCAGAAGAGAACGTGTAGGCTGAGGGGTTATTTTTCGTTCATGGGTAAACTCCGTTCCTGCAATGCCAACCTGATGCCAAAGAAAACACACCTATATAAAAAAACCTCGTTTCACATGTTTCGTCAAATTATCCTCCACTTGGTTGAAGCAGTTTTATTGGCTTTGGAAACTTCATTTATTGTCTATTGTAAGCTTAGATTCTCAGGATATCCTGCGATATCCAATATACACAGTATAAAGAGCATATTCAACTTTAGGTCAAATGGAGTCCTCCGCCGCACTTATGTGTTCCTCCTGAGAAAGATGGATTGTCATTCGCTGACGAAAAGGGGACAAAAATGGTCGTTGACGCTACAAAGTATGTATCCTCGTTTACTGCTCTGTTGGACATTCTGTACTTGTTATTTTGTTGAAAAATTTTTTTCCGTGGTTATTTTTCTTTTTTTTCTGGTCTCTATACGCAAGTTCTTTCTTTGCTATACAGCATGGGGATAGAGAGAACAACATAGTTTTCTCAATACATAGTCGATCAAATTACGATAGCTATTGGGGAGTTCTTGCCAAAAATTAACTTCCTTAAAAAATGCGACCTTTTCGGAACGTTCTGGAAGTTTCACTAGTAACACTGTGGACTGTCCTCACTCATTTGTATGCACCTAGCAAACGTGAAGATATGGTGATGCCTCCACCGGTGAGCCAGTCGAGCTCCATCAGCCTATACAATGACTTGTGATAGCCAGCCGTGTAGCCAAGTCAGTGCACTCGTCCCCCCCCCCCATACAAGTGCGACAGCAATTAACCGATACCGGAGGGGTGNCTTTGACCTACACTGATACCAATCCAAGATTCGAACCCGTGACCATAGTGCGTGACAGTGCGCCACTAGCCACTACACCACCTTCGCATTGTGTTATTGTATTATCTTCGGATGTTATAAAGTAAAATAATCGATTAAGCAAGGAAAAGGGAGCGGTTGTGCGCATTCGAATGGGTGATGTCCTACATAGCAATTTCATGGGAACTTCCAAAACATTCCATAAAGATTTTAGACCATCACGAAACTCACAAGAATGGCGATTTGTGGGCAAACTGGAGTTTTGCCCACAAATCGCCATTCTTGTGAGACTTTCGCTTCGCATACTGCGGCGGTAAAACAGCAGTTAACAAAACATCAGGTCATCACGAGACTTCCGAAAGACACTCTCGAGGGTCTTAATGTTTACATAATTAGAACCATACTTAGCATTTTCACGTTTTTCTCTGATAAGCGTCAGAACCTGCTTTCTTTGCACTTCTAGTGTCTGTTTCTGTGAAAAGAATTACTTTTGTTCTAGATTGTAGATTTGCTATTCTAATAGAAATTGATCCCAAGAACTGAGGATTGTGCCTTCACGGATTTATTAATCGAAAATGTTCAGAACCCATGACTTGGTACTGGTGTATCATCCGAATATTCGGGTACAGATAGCTGCAATAGGGCCACGGAAGGCCAATGCTCGCTATGCCACTGAGGTCGATAAATTTCAAAAGGTTCGAACTTTTAATACTATCAGGGAGCAGAGCTTGTAAAAAAAAAAGGGAGCATCAAATATAAGGGGTTGCCCAATATCGACTTTAGTGGTTTCATTCATAAGTTCGCCTTGAACAGAGTGTCTACCATTTCCTTCGCCAGGAGAACGGGTCCAATCTCGAAGACAATCCTTTCGAAAAAAAGAAGGGTCTTTCTAAAATGCGATGATATAATTTGAGTAGCAAGACAGAAGTAGTCTCTCAAGAGGCAAGATTTCTGAGGGAGACATCACATTTTTATGTTGTGAGGTGTTTTGCGGACTTCAGAAATTTTGAAATGTTCGCCTCGCAAACGTGCAGCCGGAAATGGGAGCCACGTTGCATGGTATGATTCCTGATTTTCGGCATGAACGTCTTCTGAATTTGCTAATGGTGCTTGGAGCTTACGGGTGCTGAATGAAGTCTTCAACGAGACCGATTTTCAAAACTTTGCAAAAACGTACTGACCACTCAGCATGTCACAGCAGACCTCAAAAGTCTGCACTACTTTCACTAAAGAACTGACTTTCTTCCTAAAAAAACCCAAAAAGAAAAAAGGGTCAAAGACGAGCGGTAGCAGTGCTCCACGTCAATGTGTAATTCGAATAAACTGTGAGGCCCAAATTTTAATGTCGTGTTTGCTTTCAGGCGCTGGAACGTCTTACAGCACAGGCGCGGCAACGAATAGATCTCAATGTGATGGTGATCTCTCCGCATGGTCTCGTCGATGTTCCTGAACAAAATATAAGGTGAGGAAATTAATAGCCAAAAAGTTTGTCAAGCTATCTGCAGGGAATCATAGAAAGAAGGAAGCAGTATGTTTTACAAACTATGTCTGGTCATCTTGGAAAGATATGATCAAGCCTGTACCCCTATTCATTCCTATTCTCAAGGTATAAAGCATCGGTTGAATTTTCGAGATCATTGATGGCCGGAAAGGGTTTTGTCAAAAGGTATCTAAGTGAAGAGAGCACTTGATCCTTGACTGAATGGCAAGCGTTGACGGGTAGTCGTTGTGATCTAATAGTTAGGAATAATCCGAGCTTCCGAGTATAGTACTGACTTCAAGCGGTCCTGTCACTACATTAGTCACCCATTTCTTATCAATCGACTTAATGATCAGCCTAATTCTAAGAATCATATCGAAATGTCAAGGCTATACCGTGAATACCGGAGGAGCTGGAAACTAGCCGTGAGGGCCTTCAATATCCCCTGTTGTCCATTACCTGGGTTGTCATTTTCTGTAGCTCCAGTCTCACAAGGTTAGCGAGCTGTTGTTGCCGGGCACTGTGCTTTTTATCCATTACACTACCCGGACCCGCTTGCTCCTCCCGTTTTAATCTGTTTGTTGTTTATAGTGCAGCTCTTTCACTTTTTCACAAGCGGTCATATTGTAACAGCAAAGGAGTAAACGGTCGAGAATTCATGAATAGACTGATTGATAATTTGGTATAAAAAAGTAAAAAGCTGTTAAGCGGCATAACCTGCACATTTTGGTGGGGTTCGAAACGACTAAGCTAACGTGAGAAATCGTTCAGGTTCTTCATGAATAATGAGTAATGGTCGTTGTAGTGTACATAATTTGACAGAGTTCTTGACGACTACCTCCCGATGGAGCTGCTCCAGACGTCCGTTGGAAATGGAGCAATTAAGCAAATCATCGCTATGCCGGGCAAAACGCACCAGGTCTACTCCCAACTACGAAGTCACACACCCATACCAAACGTCGAAGTCTACTATACCGCTCCAAAGGTTGGTTTAACTTGCTGTTTCCTAACATGAAATCCAAATATTCTTAGCCTCATGCTATTTCTATTGTCTACCTTTCTTCATTCACCAGAAGGCAATCTCAGTGTTATCAGGAAACGTCCGTTTCCACTCAACACTTTGTTCATGTTGTGAAAGCACAATGTTTCGATGCCATCCTGAATTGCTTTGTCTTTTGAAACATACAGTTCTTCTCTAAAGTAGAAATTTTTCGACAAGTTTTCCAGTTCCAGGTTGGTGATCTTCCGGTAAGGTATCAGTACAGGAAATCATCTACAGTTGCAGATTTAGTGCTTGTCGCTCAGCCGGGTTACGCTATAGTAACAGTATGTCTTTCTATTGTCAACCTACTCATGATTATATTATTATATTCTCTAATGCAAGCCTAACCTTAGGCAATCTAATCGAGCCCATTGAGGATATGATTAGATTTTCAGCGAGATACCACCAAACAAGTACCAGAACATGCGACAGATGAAGTGAAAGCCGGCTTGAGCGGCTATGACAACCATTACCCGGATATGCAAGGAGTTTTTCTCGCCTATGGACCAGGTAAAACTGGGAATTTTTTGTTTTTGCAGTTTAAGTTTGCATGAAACATTAATAAAAAGTAAACAGATAATAGTGCGCTGTTTAATGAGTAAATCTTGCAATATACAAAACGACCAAAACTCTCTAGGCACCTTCCATGTTATATACAGTAGCGCTTGAAAGTATTCGTATTAAAAGTACTTAAAGTAAATGTTTGTTCAGTCGTACTTTGCAGTAGTAACTCCTTTCCTGCTGGATCTTATCACGCGAAATTTCAATATGTGTAGCATGGGTGTAGTGTGAATATTTGCCACTATCGACCTGCAATCTGATAATGTCCCAAGTATCCCAAAGAACTTGAAATCGAAACCAACTGGTAATACAGATGATGATCCTTCTAGAGTCTCGTTCCTTTTCGCCATGCCTAAAGTGCACGGGCGCTAATGCGGAACACAGTAGGTGAGAAAAACGTACTAAGGTGCGAATAACTGCAGACGCCATAAATTTGCTTTCACCATAGTTCACAAACGCCTTCCCATTAGTTATGTGGACATTGCTGCTTTGCAGTCAAATAGTGTTGGATAGTGTAGAATATGCTCCAGTGAAACTTATCAAAATTTCATGCGATTTGCTCCGCTGAGAAAAAAGTTACGCCCGAAAAACCTTGGCCGATTACTTCTGAGCGCTACTGTATGTCAGTATATCCTAGTAGGGTCTCACGCGCCCAATACTAAACTTCAGCTGTCGACGTATACTTGTAAAAGTTTCATTAATTAAATAGTTTTGGTATTTTTTCCGCTAGTTGTCTTTCAAAGATTATATTGCCTAAATGGTATATTTAGCACATCCCATAGCGAAAGTCATTTTACTCTCCTACTTCTCTCTTGCTTCAATCTCGGCAACGCGTTGTTTGCGATAATAATGTTATTGTCCCGCATGAGGTAGTCAGTTGGAGCAGCTTGCTAAGTAGGACCACCTGAAGTTTAAATGCAATCGTCGTCTTCAGAGGCCTAAACGCATTTCGAGGTGATTTACATGTCATCCATCAAGCGTTTAGTCCCTATCGCAAACGTTACCATTTATTCGAGACCCGTATTTTGCAAGTAAAAGTAACTCACCAAGATTCCACCTCTCAACTGAAGAAAATCCGTTGTCGCCACAGGTGATCAGTAGCGAATGAGACTTATTGCTGTGCCACTTATACAGGTGATTATGAAGATCACGTTATGGCGCTACTGAGTCACAACACGCAATGTGGCATGTAATACAAAAGATTATTAGTTATGGACGGACACTTATCTCTACAGTTCATTCTTTTCGATTCCTATGGGAACTTCAGAACACCCCTAATTCTTTTCTTGCCGAAATCTCCTCCGTCTCTTGCGCTTATATCGTGCACTTTATTTCAAAATTGTTGTTGTCGTGCTCCTCAGTTTTATGTATGTCAAGCGGCGTCATCAAGCTGCTTCGCCGTGTATGTTGATCCGCATGCTCGGCACTCGATCTGGTAGACTACGTCTATCATTGCGCAATCACCTGTTCTCGTAGAGCCGGTTTCGCACTAATAGCGGCTTGATGTTGCTATTAGGAATGCACATAATTGGAGAACACTTGCAGTGCAGCTCTGAAAACGCTCCGCTGTGTGCTGATCTCAATGCTGACTTTATCAGTGATGAAAGGAAGATCGTGTGGTAATTTAGTTTGGCGCTTAGCATTTTTCGTGTTGATACGACGTTTTCCACGAGTTCGTGACACTGTGTAATCGCTCACAGCAGCTATCTCACAAGCTGAACGTCGAGATTGGTGACCTTCAGTTTCACCTGTGCAGACACACTTATTGCTGACGACTGCACGTTCAAAGGCACAGTTCACGATAGTTGTGGATAATCCAGATTATGGTGAAAAATGAAAGACAAGATCGGAAATAGTGCGATGAATAAGAAGAAACCGGGTGAATTGGTGTTTCCAAAGTGAAAAAAGACTTTGAAAAATCGTTAAAAAGGGGGCTGGACGAGAATGAGACTAGAAAAATGAAGAAGAGTGGGGCGTTCGCACGAGCTATACAATGTGTCTCACTGCGTGCGTGTGGGTCCTGGTGCGAAGAACAGACTATGTTAAGCAAAAATTCCCTTCACTTCACTTCACTTATAAGCGTAAGTAAACAAAAAAAACTCTAGTAGCTGCAAAAGTAGCTCATCTTTCTCAGCCTATAGGAGTAGGAAATTAAGAAAGGGATCGCGGCAGCAAAAAGAATGACAGAGGAAAAAAGAATTGGAGAAAAACACCGCCTCATCACTCGGTAACCAGCTCATTGCGTGTGGCTCCTAGAACGAATAGTTGCAATTTGTATCGTCTCGACACTCGTCTGACGTGATGACGTGACATCGATCGAGAGGCGGGAAAGCCATTGACGTTCCCGCCCATTGAGTTATCGTGAACTGTACCTTTAACGGCTCCTGGACAAGCTAATGTAGCGTGAACTCAGCACTGAAATACAGCGGAGCATTTTCAGAGGAGGACTGCAAGACGTTGTTCAAGTAGTGAACATTCCTAATAGCAACATCAAGCAGCTGTGAGTTCGAAAGTGGCTGTACGATAAGCGGTGCGTAACCAATGATTTTACCATATTCTTCTAGGGAAAACAGGTGATTGCGCACTGATGGGCGTAATCCACTAGATAGAATGCCGGGATAGTGTAGATTAACGTACATCGGAAAATCTTGAAGACAAGTGGCTGTGCGAACTAAGGAACAAAAAAAAAAGGAAAAAAAACTAGATGCTATGAGGCGCAACAGCTTGATGACATCGCTTGACAGGAAAACTGAAGAACACGATAGCAACAATTTTCGAGTGAAATGTACGATAGTAGCGCAGGAGACGGAGATTTCGACAAGGGGAGAATTGGGAGCGTTCTGGATTTTCAAAGAAATCCAACAAATGAACGGTAAAGATGAGTGTCCGTCCACAACTAATGATCGGCTGCCATATAGCCACATTGCGGGTTGTTACTCAATCGCGACCCTACGTGAATAGAAGGGTCTGAAGGTCTTTTCACCTTTAACTGCGAATCACAATTTTCCTGCAGCCTGTTGTTTCAAACGGAGAGTCCCGACTGATCACGAATTATAAAAAAACGGAATTTTTCTATTGGAACAATCCTTAACTGAACAAGTTGGTGATGTCACTGAATCTTGTTTCATATCAACAATTGGGGTTTTCTAGGGCCGTTTCCACTTTCCTCGCTTTCCAATGTGTCATTTACTTCAATCGCAGGGCACTGCTAACTAATAACTACCGGTTTAATAGGGTACTTCAAGGTTGCAGAGGGATTCTAACGTGCAATAGTAAGGGCTGTGCGAGATTCGCGCACTGTAGATCATCCACACATTTGGGCCATCGGTTGAAATTAATGGTTCTAATCAGCGGCTAGATTGGTTAGACGGTTGACAAAGCTAAGCAAAAGCCATCGGATGGCAACTGTAACTCGGAGATCGGATCTGCCCGACGAACGGAACTTTTGGATTGAGAAAGCAACTTCAGAAAGGTCATAGAATCATACTGCTTCCGCTGTAATTTTCAGGGTTTGCTGTAAGAAGAGACACTTGGACAGCATTTCAAATTATCTTTGTGTAGTAGAAATAACCTCGACGTGAACAATAAATCGCCTAGTTTGCTTTAGTATTTCGAAAAGGCTACCACAAGGGTCCGCTCGAGTTGTGCGACATTTATGCGCTCACGTGTTTTATTCTTCGATTAGAAGGCTGCCACTCTTCATGTGCAAGGTATACAAGAAATACCTTTGTTCGGTTTTGCATCAATTAGAATTTTCACCAAAAGTGTTTCTAGGATCCTTCGAATCGAAGACATTCTTACGAGCGAAGCCAGAGTGGCGGTGCGATCTCAGTTACACAGGTCCAGTCAAGCCTCAAGTGCTACAGCTCCATTACTCATTGCTCTTATTTTAGTTGCTGTGATTTCTAAAATAAATATCTATTGAGTTAACGAAAGTTTGCAGCTCGTAGTGAATTTAGTGCGTCACTCCCCTTCGGACGCTTCAGTATTGCTAGTTTGTTCTCGAGGTTCGTGTTTAACATTGACAAATTTCTCTGCCAGAAGGTGCACCAACTTTCCGGATAAGTACGGCTCCGGCATGCCATCTCATCCAACCCAACTGGGCCACGCTACCGCAGTTTCTGGAGGTCACTCGCAAAAGTTCCAACGTAGTGTATCTAATGGAGGCTTCTTGCTCAGGAAGTACTCCAAAAGTATCTGCAGGAGGGTGGACTCTGTAGTGTGTTTTTGTTATGAGGAAGTAGTGGTTGATTTGTGTACAGAGTGAACCAAAATTATGGGCTCCGAAAATTCAATGCCAGGTGCAATTGTTCGCATGCAATCGCCGGGAGGACGGAGTAACATTCTTTACATATAATTCCAATAATGATCGGATGGAAGTCGATCAAACGATACCGAAAACAAAGTCAATCAGAGACTAACCCGTAAGCGTTAGAAAACCCAGGGTTTTCAAAAAATAGGATTATAAAAATAGTCCGTTTGCGCGTCGATGGCAATCTTGAGCGACCCATCAAAAGGATGGAATTGGCACGACGACGGTGCGCGACTTATCGAAGTTATCGATGGAGTCGGATTGTCATGCAGAAGCTTCACTGCTATTACTACAGTATACGGAAGTGCCACTTCATTTCCGATCTCAGTAGACACTGTAGTGTCAAAAAGTCAGAAGGATCCTAACTACTCAACTAGAAACCCCTATCCCCTCATCGTTTCCTCTGAAGAGGAATTTTCACGACAAAGCCAGTTCTCGAGAAATAAAGCGATCAGGTTTTGCACAGAAGATTCAAATGTGCAATGTCTCACAGAAAAGTTGTCACAAATTCTGTTGCTCTGATCTGACTCACTTTCTGAAAAAGCTCGTGGTTATTTGATAGGGCGGTGCTCCGTCCCATGGAGAGAAGTTCTTCTAGGAGCGGTGTCCACGCCTGCAGTTCGACTTCATTATCAAAGAAGAGTGGCTATTTTACTTTCCAGATCTTGATTCACTTAATCCCCCCTTATGGTCCCTGATTCAAAGAGAACCTGTCGCGGGTTTGCAATCCCAGTTTGGAATCATGAAAGCAGATTCAAGAACTGTTGGAAGAAATGGAGGGATACCTGCGTGCCAGGAGTAAGGCGTTTGAGCACAGATCTGAGTTTCTATCATGCTACTGAAGGTTACTTTGAAATGTGATTCTGTCTCTCTATTTTATGTGATGTAAACACTACTGATCTCCTTCACTGAGGGTTCTTTTCCTCACTGAAGGATCCCAGCCGACGAGGCTACGTAAGGCGTTCTCAAAGGGTGGAAAGGGGAGTAAATCGCAGACCAAAAGGCGCCAGTACTTGCATAGAGACAAAGGTGGATTCAAGGACGAACTTCTTCCTGGAAAGGATGAAGAGTCGATCAAAACTTTTTACTCAGCTTATATGTGCAACATTTTGTCTAATCGTTCGTATGGGTTGAAATACCGAAATCATCATTGAGATGAGACGAGAACAAAGTTTGCTTCGTTCATCGGATGATGATCGTTTCGACCTTTATCACATCATTATCGCCGTTTCGCAGGATATAATCCTCTTTCGACCAGCCTATGAAATCTGATTTAGGCCCACTCATACTTGTTTTCCCCTCGATGTTTTCCAATAGATTTAGAATTTCGGAAGCCCCTTCATATCGGTTCACTCAAGTACTCCTATTATTCAGATCGCTTGCGAAACAGTACATTGTTTTCCTTTTGATACGGATCAGCTCTGGCTCTGTATAAATCATTCAATTCACGATCTCACTAATGGCTTGTCTGTTTGCCTTTGTTCCTTCCATGACATACTTAGGTAGCTGAATTTGGGAGCCCCCGATAGTCTTCAGTTTTCTGAACGTCTTTCGTCTTTCATCTCCTACACCTCCCTACTTCACAGTTCCGTTCCGGTTTATGGTTTATAGTGTTGCACGAATACCATCATCGGTGGCAATCTTCGTAGTCTTTGAGTCGGCAATATGTTGAATTATGACAGGAACCTGTAGCTTTTGATAGATTGAAGGTCTTTACAGTCATATTTTCCTCATCCAATATTCCTGAATGGCAATGCCACTGATATTGGCAAAAATATTTAGTTTGTTTTCGTTGTACTTTTTCGCTTTTTCATCTAAAGCCCGAAAGTACCGATTGTTGGCACGCCTGACTACCATTCGCAAGTGTGAATAATTATGCCGAACACGGAAAAGTTTCAGTCTTTCTTTTTAACTCTTGACTTTATTACGATTTAGGAGTTCCTAGAAAGGTTTTTCGTCATACTTCGTCCTTAGAAGCACAAGAAGAATGGAGAGGCCGTTCGTACTGGTTATCATGATGGCAGTGCTCTTCAAGAACGGCTGTGAGATTTCTCTCCTTTATGTAGAGTAACTACGATTGCCTGGGAAGAGACCACTGCGCACGATAGTTGGCAACGGCTTCCAACCCAAAAGTGGGTCCCAACTCTTCTGAGCCAGTACTCACCTGAAGAGTGGGATTCACAGAAGAGAACACTGTGCATCCAGTAAATGAGACTCCAAAATGAAGACTAATGCAAAAGTAGAGATGCTTAGGTGCCTCCTGCCCTCCAATAGAGGATAGCCCTGCTGCACGTTTGATGTACACGTACAAGAATACTATCCAAGTTGGACCAACCTCACCACTAGAGGAGGGTACTATAGCAACTCTGAAATGCCACTCTGGCCTCGTGAGAGAAGGTGAGTCACTGGCTGGCTTATTTATTCTTTGCATTTGACAGGGACTGCGTTTGACGGAAATACTGAATGCTTGTAGTAGCCTAGTAGTCAGCTGAGCCGTATCAGGACACGTTTTCATCATCCTTTATTCAGGGCAAGCCACTGCAACATGCACTTCTGGCAAATGGAACGGTCTACCTCTAGGCGTTTGTATTAAACAGTAGTATTTCTTTTGCCATTTTCTCTACCGACCATCTACTGAACTAAAGCTCTGGAATTCATTTTGCTTTTGACATTTTGCTTAACATCCTTCTTAACAGTTCATCCGTTCTAGATAAAGCGCAAATTAGGTATAGGAAATACCGCCTTCGGGTAGATTGGGTTTTTTGATGAACAAAATAGTCGCTTTCGTTTTTCGTTTCAATGATCGATTCATGCTTCGAATCGACCTTTTCAAAAACAATTAGGGAGATTACCGAAAACAGCTACGTGGATCCAGACACGACCTGATCCCCACACCCCAGTGACCATGCATCTGTTCTAAATCTCTTATGTATCATTCGCTTCACTATAGCATTTATTCCTCCGAACAATTCAGGAAGCTGTGAAAGAGGTTACGATTTATCCATTAACCATCGAGGCATGTCTATGTGACAAAATTGACTGTTGTAATAACTTTTCTAAATGTTGCAATAAAAAGTTGTCCATGGATTTTTCATTATGAGCTATTCAAAATGCTCATACATTGCTGGGGAGTCAGCTGTAAGTTGATATTCCGTTACCTGAAACAATCAAAGCAAACCTCTTTTAGCGAAACATGTCACGCGACCACACTGTGGAACTCTTCTTACTTACTAGGTCTACAAATAGGTGTTAGAACATGTGGGAATGTGAGTCCTAAACAGTGCTTTTCCTTCGATGTTAACCTTTCTCTCACCTAAGCATAACAGCACAAGTTCAAACGCGCAGCATTAACATTTTCCTCCACCGCCAATGTCATTGACTTCTAAAGCGAATCTTACCAGGGAGGGGTAGTCTACTTATCTTGGAACTTTGAATTCAGATCCAGATAAATCGATAGAGTTTTGAATGCTGACTACGAAAATGGGAATTAAAACCGCAAAATGATTCTCCTTAAAAAGTTACGGGGGCCCGAATTTTGCTCAACAGTAGTATTAATTGTCTGAAGAAATGTCAGAAAATGTTTAGAAAGCCTTTGATAAAATGAAAAAACACTTTGCAAAAGTGCTGATAATGGCGGGAGGGACCCCTCATTTTACCCCCACGAAGCGAGACCACTACCACTAGGTCACGTGGGCGTTTGATATGGAAGCGGCGAGTTCGTATTTCCAAGTGATACTACTGCCGAGCAAAATCCGGGCCCCCATAACTTTTTAAGGAGAACCATTTTGCAGTTTTAATTTCCATTTTCGTAAATAGCATTCAAAACTCTATCGAATTATCTGGGTCTGAATTCAAAGTTCCAAGATAAGTAGACTACCCCTCCCTGGTTAGTTACGGACGAGATTTGACTTCACTATGATAAGTCACTTACAAGGGAGGGTTGTACTGATTCAAAAAGAGGGTTGAATATAATGTGCTTACAGTTCAGGTTTTGGATAATTAAATGAGAAGTAAATTATGCGTCACACTACCCTTCAGTTCCCTCAGCTTTGTTCGTTCATTTCATAGATTCACTACATACATCAGAACAACTCGATCGGCTTGCTTGCTGAACAATTTGCTTATTCCTCGAAGACAATAAACTGTATAGCTTACACGAAGGTAATGAAGACCTTAACAACGTGACGGAACTGAACAAGCCGTATGCAATCTTTTCGCATGATCATTCAGAATTCACGCAAAAATTGCGATATGAAGTACGGTGGGATCCTGTTAGCCAAGTAGCATGTCAATATACAATGTTTTCGAACCAACCTGTAACCTCCCTGCTTTCATAAATTCCCTTCAAAGGTTTGTTTGCAAGAATTTCTGACAAAATCCCGCGACACTTTTTTGCAAGAGGTGTCAGCAGCTTATCGAAGGAATTTTTGGCTGTGATATTAACAAGTGGGGAGCGAATCCGGAGGGGACAAAACCTATCCAGCTATCCTGCTGGGAGGCTACTACTTGAAAGAATCCTGTCATTGAAGTGGTACTTATGAGGTTCACGATAACTTGCAATACTTCCACGACATAGATAAAGAACAGCTAAAAGCAAACCTGATCAGGAAGAC